TCAAGGTTTAAATTCAGCCCTAGGCCAACTACACTATTTCTGTTCTTGAATGACATTTCGGTTCCAGTTGGAAGAAGGATAAGCCGGAATAAGAGAAGATACGGAATTTTTTTATTTTTTACTTACTTCTTCGTATTTCATTTAACTTTAATTATTTTAATATTTCTTATTTTATTATTTTAATTATTTTATATTTCATTTATTTACTTTTGTTCGTCTTTCCTGATGACCTTCCACAAAGCTCTATTTCATCCTATTCTATTAAATATTCCTGATACATATATTACATCGAAGCTAAAAATAAAAACGTTGTTATATAATACTACAAAATACATTAATATTTTTAATAATATTAAAGAAATGTATTTAATAATTGCTCAACATACAGCTAAAACTTTAAGGACTGACACATGATCTGATATTGCATAAAAAAATTATACTTTATTAGGATAACTTTGCTTTCATATAAAATTGAGTTAGAAGTCAGTTGTCAGTTATTAAGTAATGTTCATTGTCTCAACAAATTATTTTTTTAGAACAGGATGAAACGGAAAACATTGATTCATTGTACGTTTTAGAGTACATCACTCATGCTTAATAAAATATGCAAAGTTCATAAGAAATTCGTGTTCAAGAAAAACTTCTATTGTAGCAATCTCACCAGGTACATCTAGTGGTTCGAGTTAATTTAATTAGGTTTAGATGATATTTTTAAAATTACTGTAATTACATCCTGTAATAATTTTGACTACACACATACTTTTCAAAGAAATTGTAAATAAATATATGAAAATTAAAAATAGTGATAAACTTAAACCTAGTTGTGCTAAAAGCCGCTCACTAACTCTGAGGTATGTGACAGAATGAAAAAATAAAATGTAAATATTACAATAGAATGTGATATAAATAAATATTATAATAAAATGACGTAATGCATTGTTCAGGATAAAATTTTGGAAAATGAACACGTGAAAAATAGCAAAAGCCTAAAAACTGTACATCAGATTAGAAAGATATTAACCTTAGTATTAAGTAATATATATAACACTGCGCAAATATAAAATTAATAAATACAGCCAGAAAATTGTCATACAAGGAAAAAAGATTATTATAGTTATAATACATTGAAAACCCATACAACCAATAAAGAATTACACGGGTAATTTTTTATTTCAACAGGGAAGCCAAAATCTAAAGGTGCAGTTAGGAGGTCTGTGATCTTGTTCCTATTTCAGTACATGGCCATATTGTAAAATTTAGATTACTAATAGGAAATTAATAATTTTAAACAGCAAGTAATATAAAGTAAGTAAATTAATACGATCATACCATTTATAATACTCCCAAAGGGATAATCAGAAGGCATCTGATCAGAAGAAAAGCCTAAGTCATCAACTAAATGGTGAATAAAATAATCACGAAATATTATTACTATATTTTTCATAAATTTACATGATACAGTTCCATGTTCTGTGAGCTCTTCCGAATACAAAAGTTTAAAGATCAATATTTCATGGCCTTTCTACTGTTTTTCGTTCAAAATTTGAAAAATTCTGGGTGTAGTAGAGAAAAATATGAGAAAACTTGAGTGAGGAAAAACTGATTATGCTATGTCTAAGCAGATTAATTTTTGTTCATGGGTACTAGAGTCGAAAAAGGCCGAGAAAAATTTTGCATAATGACTGAGCTTATTTTTTTTCACTGAATAAAATGTGCTTCATTCGTAATAAAATATCCTGAATATGCAGTATTCATGTATTTGGAAAAGAGCTCATAAACAATTTTAATTTACACTATTCTTGTAATGAAAACATAATATTTGATATAATTAACAGCTGCATCTAATACCAGTATTATTAATTTTTTATCATTTTTGCTTCACAATTTATATAAAATGCAAGTAATATCCCTTTCATGCACGTTTTTACGAATGTAATTAAATTAATCGTAAAAATCTGTCGGTGGTTTAACAGTTTAATACTTGTTTGGAAAAGAGAGATATTTATAGGGATTCATATCACTGTGTCAAATAAAAGAAGCAAAGCTATAGAAAAACAAATATAAGAAGATCTCGGACATTACACGTAGTCCAGGGCATCTGTTTCATAGAAAGGTAGAATTTTATCAAAGGAGATTATAAATTAAAATCGGAAGGAGTATTAAAGATTTCTTTAAGGGAAATATGGGAAAGAAGATATTTATTAAATGTGGGTAATAAGGCTTTCTTCCCCCTTCATATGCATGAAGAATGTTATAAAAATGGGTAAAGAGAGAGTATTGAATTGTATAATAATCTCGAGTTCATAGTTTCTCGTTAATTTTTAAAAAGGGGGAAGGTTAATATTTCCTTTACTTACGAAATACAAATGTTGACGGTTTTCCACATCCAGTCTAGATACATCTACCAGTCTAGACACATCATGTTTAATTAAAATTTGTTTTCAAAACGAAGTTTAGTATTCTACCCGAAAATTATTAGGGTCTGAACTACTATGCTATGTGTCTTCTTTGCTGAAGTTAAACTTTCTATAAAATAGGAAATAAACGAGGTAGACAAAGAAAAGTATTTCAAAAGAGTAAGAGTACTTTTAACAAGTGAAATATTTGACTGTAGGATGGAAAAATTAAGTATGTGCCTAGATTAAATCAAAATTTTCCTTGCATTACAGGATATGTTACAAGATATTCTGTAAATAAACAAGCACAAAATTAAAAGTCTATTATTTGAAACTAGAAGATAAAAGCATTGACTTAAAAATAAGTTTGAAATATATATAACCATGTACAATTTTATTTAAAGCTTTAAAAATTAAGACAAAATATTTAAATAGCATTTATTATAGTTTTACTTTTCAGTTTCTATATTCATTAGATGTTAGATCAGTTTAAAGACACTTTCTAGTAGCTTCATATAACAAGTACAAACAGCGTGATTGCATTAATATTTTAAAACTAATCCGAGTGGAGGGACTGTAGCAATAATACCGGGCGTTTAAAGCATAATTAGATCATTTATTTTAAATACATTTACATAGCTCCACAACAGATGAGTTAGAATTCGCATGTTATATTAAATAATGTATCTTGAATTGTATTCAAGATAGATTATTTTCAAAAGTTAAATATTAAAATAATACATGCGATATAGATTTGTCCTTGGAGCAAAAATATATTTAATCGGTTTCGTAGAACCTAAGTGTTTGATCAAATAAATTTATGCAGTAAGCATTTAATTCATTTACGATAAATATAAATCCTCGAATATTGCGAATTACGCCTGAAATATGTGAAATAAACTATTTTACAAAATGAAATTTGAACGAGAGACAAAAATCTTTTTAAATGCAATAACATATTTCTATCCACGTACATGCAATACGTATTTTTTTTAGTAATATTTTTATTTTAATGCACAGTGAATAACAGTGTCTACACTAAATTATGTAGTCAGAAATTTTACGTCGCCTTCACTTTCTACAGCGAAATTTTACAGTAGAACTACTGTAAAATAAGACTTGCCATACTTACTAGTAAATAAGACTCCTTCAAATATAAAACACGTTTCATAGTTAGGAAAAATTTTAAGAAATAAAATTGTAGGTGAATATTTGATGAGATAATTCTGATTAGGATTCATTTTATTCTGGTTAGAATGAAAGGTAAGTTACCTAATTAAAGACAATATTTTACTGTGGTACAGAAAAAAATTAGTATTTATTTTCAAGCATATCTTTGACTAGTCTACTGGATGTATGCCTAAATTAAAACCATTCATCTAGATGTGGGTGTAACAATTAGTGGGAGTTATGCCCTTTATGTATACAGTGAATACTTACATGAATTATTTAGTATGTAAACAGTCTAATTATTCTAAAATACAGTATGATAATTAAACTCCTTCCTCCACACTTTGCAAGTTCATTTATCAAAATACCTGTTTATAAGATCCTACGAAATTTTAGAACAAAAATCTAGCAAAAAAGGAGGTCTTAATTTTCTAGTATACAGTTTTTATTAGCGAAATGTGAAATTCTGTTTATACGTATGCATAAGAAAGTTTAGTATACAGTGATGAGATAAAGAAGTTAAATGGACTTTGCTATAAAAGCATTATTCTATATTGCTTTGATTATGTTGATGTCACAGAATATTATTAAAACATTCATTAAGATCGAAGAAGCTGATTTATGCCCTTTAAATCACGTCTAGCTGTTGAAAAATGGGTAAGAGCAAAAGAAGTAAGTTTTTCATCCTTGGCAAATGGGAAACAGTTTAAATGCGTAGATGTGCTCCTAAGATATTTAACGTATGTGCTAAAATATGAGAAATAATCTATCTTTTTAATTTTAAAGACTATTTTGCGAAAATTTATTTTAATATTAGAATTGTTTCTAGCCATAAACATGGAAATGTATGGTCAGAAGTTTAGTATGCTCCAATTTTAAAGTTAATAGCATTAATCATCTTTCATAATATCATTGTCTTACAATTATTGTGTTTGAAACCATAAAAGCAGTTAATACATATAAAACCTAGATACGCAAAGTATATGTAAAATGGATTATTAATAATCAGTTTCACATATACTTGAAATAAGAAATAATATAATTACAAATTTAAAAGGATTATCCTTTAGCTATCATTAAAAGAGGAAATTCTCTTTCTGCCCAAAAAAATCGATGTATACTCATAGAATACAAATATGCTCCCAAGATACATATATCTAAGTAACTAATGCTCATAATAAAGAGTACCTTATACGATATTGAGCATAGAATATGTTTTTCAGCTCTGTAACAACATATTCATAACTTTTCTTTCTTTAACATTGGATACTTTTTCTTTCTTTTAACATTTTATAACGCCATATAACATGCTTTTGCGATTCTTCGGGTATCTATTTTCTGTCTGAATATTTACAATAGCCATAATGACTTCATACCAAATATTTATAAAATTTAACAGAAGGCATTGCTTCTGAATATTTCTACTTTTCTTAATCATGTTGTTGAACTGCTAAGTGCACTCGAAAATCTCCTCGTTCCAATATTTTTCTTTGTCAAACCTGACAAAGAGAAGAATGCTAATGGAGTGATTGTTACTTGCAAATAAGTGAGCCACGTTGCGCTGAGTTCAACCCACTCTGGAATAACAACTCTTGGCCTCTCATATATTAAAGCGAAACAAAAACACACAATTGTGTAAGGTAGCCACATAACGGAGAAAATGATGTGAATGGCGAGGCATAATTTTGTCAGTTTTTCATTTTCCTTCTGTTTTTTGCTTCTCCATAATGCTAATTCGTAATTAGTAGGTAAAGTATGACTTTGAAAAACACTTCGACTTACAACAGCGATAGGTGTATCTGACAGTGAATTCGCTAGCCACCTATTCCTAACTGAGATACCGCCTCGAGGATCATAAAAGCCCCAGTTTTCACTGACAGCTGGCTCATAAACTATAGGTCTCATTCGTCTTCGGAGTCGTAAGAATAGAAATAGTTTCACATAAATAACATTAGTAAAAACGAAAGCTGTTGCTAAGCTTACCATTAAGCCTAGCGTATCCGCACCTTTGGAGAAATAATGATGTGGATACGTACACTGAGCTTCTAGTCGATATTGTCTTGGATGTACACTGTACACTGTAGGAAAAGCGAAAATGAAAGCCATACCCCACACGATAAGAAGTAACGCAGTTCCTACGGAGCCGCGACACTTACGGCGATATAACGCACGGTGTTTATTATCGATGTACCGATCCACAGCCATTCCCAAGATACTGAGATTATTTCCGATTAGACAAAATACATGGGCAAATGCTATAAATTGACATAGCTCTGTTCCGTAATCAGACTGTATGGGATGAACTACCGTAATAAAAATTATTGGAAAACACACAAGTACACGCAGTAAATCCAGAGATACAAAACCGAACATCAACATATACGGCGATCTTCTTATTTTCAGGTATCGGCCGAAGGCATATATAACGAGGGAATTGCCAGCGCTTCCGATAGCCACTATTAAACCCAAAGAAATGAACTGGAAAAGTGTAAGGGGCCCCGAATATCGGCCGGCAGGTTTTGAAGTGGCATTGCGCTCTAAAAAGTCCACATCTTCTTGCATTTTTCTTTAAAATATTCGAGAATATCAGAGAGAGGACGGAGTGGAATGGGAGAATGATGCGGAGAGAAGATTTCAGAGGAGAAGATTGGTTTGCGAGCGCCATCTGGTTGTCATTTCTAGATAAATGCGTTAGCAGTGCTTTTATGCCAAAAGAATTAATGTGAAAAGAAAGTTTAATTATTTGCATTTTGCATCAGTGCTAATAAGTTCAAATGTTTGTTGTCAAATCTGTAAGAACTTCTATGGTTGGACAAGTTTGTGGTAAAAGGTCAAATAATTTATTTCATTCGATTCAAATATGTTTATGACAAAAGCCTTCTGTACAACTAACACAACATCTTTTAGGTGAAAATATTTGAAATTCTACGCGCTCTCGAGCACAAATATACGAATATTTTGTTTAGATCAAATTTCGATTCACGTATAATTTTCTAAATGTTTCAGCATTTATGCAATTAAAAATTTTTCTACGAATTTAAATTCAAGCAAAACATGCTAAAAATAATTAAACAGTTTAAAATAATTTACAAATTAGTTTATAGTAATTCTAATAAAACTACTTAATTTTTAAGGCCTATTTCTAACAGTTTAGCTTTTCTTCTTGAACTAAAGATTGCTTTAAAATTTCTCCTATCTTTGTCTTTTTTCCTCCCTTAGCATTGTGTTTTCCTTTTCCTCTTCAGTATCATGCTTAATATTTTCAAGCGCCAGTATTTTGCTTAAGCTATGAAAAATTGTTCGGAAACATTTACTGAGTTTTAATACCATTTGTAAGGTGCATTGTAAATTTCCTTCTACATTTCGGAAACTTATTAGGCTGTAACAGATATATATGAAATAATGTTTTATTTTTATTTTTTACTTCGAGTTTTATTATATATATTGTTGCGTTTGTAATAGATTGAATTCATAACGTGGTTCGTAATAGATATAATGCACAATTCTGATGAAAAGTTTATAAAATTTATTCTCATCACAAGAAATAAAACAAAATGCTGAAATATTTCCTCACAGATATTCGTACACTATCACAATATCACACAGTAGTTATATTTTAAACTACTAAAACGTTAAATAGAATATATTAATATTTTGCCTCTTCTTTCAATTCTGTTTTTGTCAGCTTCCATCAGAATTTAAGTTGCCCTTTGTATAAATTAGTTCATGCAAATTAATAATGCAAATTAGTTAAAATATGAATAGGCGCAGAGGTCTAGGGTTCCGACAGAAAGCGCTTTGGCCGCATCGATTGTTGTAATACTTAAGTTTCCTACTGACTGCATTTACTTTTTCAGCTTCAGCTAACCGCGTTTGCTTCGCGAACGCTTATAGCCGAGTTAAGGTTTAGTAGGGCGTGTTGATTTTACATTTTGCATTTAATTTAATTTGGACGTGTGTTCTGAATTACTCGCAAATACCAGAGTTCTGCTTCTGTTAAACGTTTGAGTTTGTTTAAATGTCAGGTTGATGTATTAATAACAAGTTTTTATAATAAACCTTTACTTGGAATGATGATGCTTATAATTTGAAAGCTGACGGGACGATGAGTTATTTGAGGTGATTTTGGTAATTTAAAAAGGGATATGGATGTAGCGAAGTGGGATTGACACCCATTGTTTAATCACTGGCAATGTGGGTATTGTGTAAAGTGGTTCCTTTCTCGTGTTGTTAACATCATAAAGACCGTTGATCAAGGAAATTTATAATCTATTCAAAATTCATGATGTAACCCTTCAAAATTGATTCTGGGCCTTTTTCCGACTTCAAAATTTTTAAATTAAGTCCTTCAGTGTTTTTACCTTTTTTCACTGTGGAAGGCTGTTTATCATTTGTTATTTTGACAATTCGATACTAAATTTACCTCTTTGCGGAACCCTCTTTTGATAATAATAATAAATCTTTGATGATGTGGGGATAAAGGCACTGAGCCTATGTGCCTCGTAATTGAACCCTTCTTCGGGTCTTGTTACATAAGTTTTCGCGATTATCAGTTGGAGTCAGTCACCAATCCTCTGAAAGCTTCCGCGTTCTCGCTCGGTCTTGTCTGGAATTCTGCTTGTCGATGGCCTATCCGAATATGGACTCAACCTCGGTCATTTTCGTTGAGAAAACGTTTGAATTAGTGGCAAACATATTTTCTGCTCGTGGCTTCTGCCTATGCAGCTCCATTGTCATTTTGCCTAATTTGTAACAGAAATTGTACTCCTTATTTGCTCCATTGCTCTGTGATACTATTTCTCACACTGACTGTGTTTGACTACCCACAGCGGATTTACTTTGACGCCCACCTAATGGTGCACACTACGAAGCTCGACATGTCACTGGATGTCTAAATGTATGCATGCTCACTTGTCTGTGCTTCTTTTGTAATATCGGACTATTCTCTGAACATTTTAGACTCGCTACATACTTATTTACTGTCGGATTTTACGCCAGTTGAGAATTCTAATAGTAGTTAGTGTAGCAATCCGTTGCTTTGAATTGCCTTACCAGTTAATTGTTTATAGTCTACAAGAAAAGTTTGTTAATACACGCTCGAATAAATATTTTCATATTCACAGGTTCAATTTCGTGGGCTAACAAATTTATAATAATAATAAAGTTCTATGTGTTAAGGCTGAGCTTAGATTTTGTAAAAACACAACCATTTGTGGACTGTGTGCAGAGAATCACCTGCGTTCTAAGTGTTTTTCCGATTTTTTTTCGCTGTATTTATTGCAAAGAATATAATCTACATTTCAATACTAAATATAATGAGGAACATGAGGCTCTTTCTAAGGAATGTTCTGTGTATTTGGAAGAAATTAGATTTATTAAAGAATATCTTGATGTATAAAGTTCATTTATATTTTATTTATTTTGGTCGGCTGGGACATTTAAACTTATTGTCCTTGTTTGCGATTTACATTTCTGCACTCCGATGAATTTTTATAAAAAGAAGAATTTGCCCTTACCTGCCATTTTGATCTTTTACACACAGTAGCTATTCTAGATTTTGTATATAATTGGTTTAGAGATTATGATTTTGTGATTTTAATTATAAAAGCTTTTACCTCATTATACAAATTTTAGTATAAACTATTTGCAACAAAGTAGTGAACTCATATTTTTATATATTTATATCCTTTTTATCTCTGAACTCTTTTTATCTATGAAAATTTTAAACTGCGATTTAAATCACTGTGTTGCCGCTGTTCGTAGGCCCTCTGCAATTGATACCATTGTCAAAAAATTCCTGATGTTATTACTTTACAAGAGCTCTACTATATTCAAAATAAAATTGCACATATTCGAGGTACTTGGAAAGTTGTCTATGCAAAAATGGATAGAACAGCTGTCATTATTACTAAGAAACAACTTGAATTTGTGGTGGACGTGGTACAAGATTGTATTGTGGCTGTCTCCACGCCTATTGGTCGAAATAACTCTGGGATTATTTCGATTTATTTCTCACCGGCGGAGAATTTGAAAACACATTTATATGCTTTAGAAAATGTTTTAAAATTGTACAATTTTAACTTTATAATTTTAGGTGATTTTAATTCTAAGAATTTTAACTGGGGTGCCACGGCACTGGAACAAAGAGGTATTTTAGTATTAAATTTTATTATGATTTATGATTTGAAACTTTCCAATAAAGATGACTTGCCTCCGAATTTCTCCTCCCTGTGAGAATTGGCTGGACCGACTTGGTACTGGGGTCACCGTGTAGGATTTTCCTTATTTTGCATAACAAATTTATTTTATGTTTGATACCTGTTCTAGACTTCTCAGCTTCCCCTCACATTCTCTCGCCAGGATGTAAATTTAAAGTTAAGTGAAGTGCTATTTAAACATGTGAATATCTCAGCTTATTCAGAGCGTGTTTCGCTAGCCAAGCGCACGTTTCGTTGTTATTTCGCGGTCACGCTAGTAAGCCTCTTGGCCTTATCAGATTAGTATCACGCCGGCTAGATTTCCGTGAGTCCACTTCTTAGGCGTAAACTTAAGTGCGCTCTTGCACTATTTATTTCAGGTTTGACTTGTATTATATTCTACGTTTAGTTTCCACCGCAAGTTGACGGTGTCTTTGTAATGCACGAAGTCCGTGCCTTTCTGTTAACTAGTTTGAATTAATAAAGGATTATTTTCACCCTTCTGTGCTGGTATTTAATTCACGACTGTGCGGGAATTCGCCAGGTTCATTGTAGGATCTAATTTAGTTTATGTGGACTAACAGAGACAGATTTTACAAGTGGCGCCCGAATTTTTCCGAACTCATGGCTAGCAACAAGGGTGCAACTGAATTAGCTCCATCGATATTGCAAACTCCACTGGCTCCTGGCAATATGATGGAAGGCTTTAGTTATTTTGTTGAAACAATAAGGGCCTCCATGAAACCCACAGTGACATTTGACGGAAGAACGTCGGTCGCTAGCTTCCTAGAAAATTTAGATAATCATTTTTTACTTTACCCTGTTCCTGAAATACAGAAGATCACGAAAGCAGCGACCGCCTTACGAGGACAGGCATTTAAGCTGGTTCAAAGACATTGGAAAATTTCGATTGAGGTAAATTGGAAGCCCCACTTATACGTTCGACAATTTTAAAGCCGCGTTGGTAAAAGCTTTCCCCGTGGTTAACGATAGAGCTAGGTTTGATGC